AAATAGAGGTGGTCAGGCAGGAGCAGCGAGCAGACAGTGCACGTTGGCTTCAGACCTGAGGGGGATTCTGTGAAGATTCGCTCGATGTGTCTCACCTGAGAGGCTCGGTGACATCAGTGGCTGCAAGAGCAGTTACACAAACAAAGCAAATACAGGCTCCCAGGAAGGATTTCTGTTCGCTATGGCAACGGTAAGGTGTGCTATCATCGCGTCACGTTTTGACAGAAGAGAAATCACAGAAATGTCAGTGGTTATTGTAACGGGATGGAAGACAAAGGTGCTTCAAACATGGCCTCCTTTTGAATTTCTCTCAAAAGAGGCTTGTTTGTTTTCAAGCACCGCCAGGTAATTTTGTCCCGCTGGTAAATTTTGAGGCTTACAGCATCTCGGCAGCTCGCTGCTGAGCCCCCATCCAACCTTTTAAACCCCCAATCCTCCTTCCTCACTTCTGATTTGATTGGTTTATTTAATTTTCCACTAAATGCTTGAAAAGTATTCCTGGACACTTTCTTCTCACCAGATTACACAGATGGGTAAAAAGACGAATGGCTCCTCAGTTTTAGCTTCACTTCAGATCAACAGAAACACCACGGTCCCCTTCCAAAGCGGTGCGTAAGCCTTCAGATAAAACAGAATTACCCCAGATCTGAGCATGAAGCAGATGATGTACAACTTCAGTGAGAAACGGGCAGCAGCAAAGGGGAGCAATCAATATTTTATGAATATTCCTTCGCAGAAAAAGTGCAACTTTTAAGTAATTTTTCCCTGATGTCAGGAATTCTTTATTGAGGCTTCACTAGAGGTGTAAATGTACATAAATAATACACATGCTACCAATATTAGAGCAACAATGAAAACTGTTAAGTTTCAATGCATTTCAATATGCAAGAAAGGCTCCGTTTTCTCTTCGATGGTCCATAATGTGCAGGGGAATCCCCTTTTTAGCTTGAAAAACGACTTGCACAATTAATCAATCATCAAAATGGCTCCCACTTAATTTCTCCCCATGGATTAATTGATAAATTATAGCCGCTCTAAATATTTCACACTGTTATCTAATCTGTGGGTTTTCCACACATCTGCTGAAAGCCAGAAAACTAGTGATTGTGTTTCAAAGGCATGAAAGTAACAACGCTCTGCTTCAGAGGAGCATTAGCAGCCAAGCTAGCAGAGATCCCTCTAACTCAAAGAGGGGATATTAGTGCATTAAGCGTGCCGAGCTGGTGCCAGAAATATGCACAGAATGGATGAGGTGTCACTTTCACTAAGAGTCACACAATCGCACCGACAACAGCCCCTCTGATCCCCCCCGCCTGCCTGTCTGCCACCAGTCAGCCACAAACATCTGCACGGTCGGCACAAAAAAACGGGAAATGACCTTGATTTTCAGAAAGGTCCCTGCTCCCCTCGGCCCTCGGCCTGCGTGCAGAAACGCCGAGGCGTTCTACTCACCCAACATCCACAGAGCCCGCCTCCTTCCCACAGATAGGAGAGCGCATTCCCCAGCAAATGCTTAGACTTCCATTTTCGGATCAATTTCAAAGCCATGTTAATTAATTTAGACTGCTGGCAGCACAATGCAGGTCAAACGGGGCAAACAAGTTACAACATCAGCCAATTAGAAACACACCGGCGTTCTGCGTTTCCTTCATAACTGGGGCAGGCTCGTAAGCAAAGATATGGCAGATGCAAACTTGGTGAGTGGAAACCAAACGTGACAAGGAACTAAGCGTTTATATTCCTCGTCTGCTTGTCTTTCCCGCAGAAACCTTCATCCTTTTAATTATTCTCTAATACGGGAGCTGCACAGAATCCGTGGAAACTCGGTGTTTACTGGCTGACAGATCGTCTTTTTGAGCATCCTGCCTGATAAAAACAGCCCTGTCTGGAGCCGTATCATCTGGTTGTTTTTCACTCAATTAACTTTCATCACCGCAGATGACTATATTTATATGGTCACAATTTGTTAATCCCGAAGCACGGATGGTTGCTTTTTCCACGTTGGCTTGAAGATTTGTCACAGAGTGTATTTAGGTCTAATTACCACTGGTTTTTCTCTGAGAGGAGAAACAGTTTTTCATCTATCAAAAGTAGAAATGAAAGCCATAGATTCATCAACGGATCCCCAGAGAAGGAGAGCAGGCTGACAAATGAGTTGTGAGGCAAGTGAAGCAACACTCATCCCTGTTTGGGAATAACGCCCCAACATGTTTAGGATCCACGTCTACTTTCTTCCGGGCTTTTAAAACAATCCGAGCGCAAATGAGTTACTGTGAGAATAATTCATCACCCAGATTGGTGACGTTTATTGGTTCTTTCGTAAATCTTAACTGATTTTATTTTGCTTTCTAATTTATCCTCTGAAATAACTTTGCATTTTAAAAATATTACAAATTGGGTAGAAAAAATAACTTACCAATGCTTAAAGAGCAAGTCACCCCCAAATCACATTTTTTTTGCTGATAAACTATATAAAGGAGTGTCTAATCGTGCTGCAGACACGTGTAGCCAATAATTTGGCAGTTCAGTTGATCTTGGTTAAAATTCAAATATTCTGCCTAAAACTGTCAGTGTTGCGCCGTCGTCAGGGAAAAATTCTGCCCTGTATTTGAATTTAAATCTGCCACCGCTATTGGCTAAGAGGTATGCTATGATGTAGGGCTGCTCAATTAATCGAATTTTAATCACGATTACGATCTGAGTTTTGAACGATTATAAAAACAAAACAAGCCGATTATTTGCTCCTCCCACTTGTGCTGCCCTGAGTTGCAAATGAAGCGCTCCTCCCACAGTGTTGCCAACTTGGCGACTTTGACGCTATTTCTAGCAGCTTTTCAGACCCCCTTCTTGACTTTTTAAATGTTAAAAGTACCTAGTGAACACCTCAGAAACGCCTCTGGTAACCCTTAGCTACTTTCTGGATAACTGTCGTCGACATTTCCTGCAGGTTAGCTAAACACTCCGCCTGCGCTCCGGACCGTTCTTCAGGACATTTGGAAAGGGAATGATGTAGTGATGTGTCGGTCGCTAAAGAAACAGCTCTCAGAGCCGGCTTCCTGTTGGATTAACCAGAGTGAGTGACACACACACCGTACCTGCGGGCTCCTGAGCCACTAAAAACGGCGAAATGTGCGCGTGTGGCGCGCTAAACACACGTGCAGCTTGCCCCGATTGCTGTGAGACCGGGGTTGGGGGGTGGGGGGTGCAGCTGTGGTTGGGACAATTATTACATTAACTGATGGACCTGTAAATAATTATTTATAAATAAGGTAGAAATAAGTTCCTCACGCTGATAACTAATAACTAATCTATCTGAGGACACGGTGCTAGTGCACTCTCCTACAGCACCTTGACACGACTCAATAAATGTTATGCAACATTTTGTGAACATCAATTTATTTGTTATAAATGCCACTGTATAATTCTTGCTGTCAGTATTTTAAGATATTGGTATTTGGGTCTGTACTGGTTAGACTTACATGAGTTAAACCAAGGTCTATAGCCCTATGAGCTATAAGTATATCGGTCTCTTTATACTGGGAATCAGGAGTTCTTTTAGTGATCATCTTGTTTCTTATTTATTTTTGTCCTGATTGTGCCCTGAGCAGTTTTATGACTGAATAAAAACAAATAAAATCAACATAAATAGAAAAATCGTCCTAAATAATCGAGATCTCAATTTCTGTCAGCATAATCGTGATTATTATTTTTGCCATGATCGAGCAGCCCTGCTATGATGTCATCTGGTACATTATGATGTCACAATGTGAGCCTGTGTGTCTGTATTTGTTAGCGGCTCCGCCCTCTCGGTCTGCCAGGCAACAGCACTTGTTGCATTTTTCAAACACGAAGTGGGAGTGGAGTAAGTTTCTTGTAGGGGGTGACTTGCTCTTTAAATCGACAGATTTAGTTAGGATTTGCTGTTTTCACCTAAATTGGTTCCTCCGGTGATGAGATTCCCTTAAATTCAAATCAAAATCAAAATCAAATCAACTTTATTTATAAAGCGCTTTCACATGGCCAAAATGGACAAACAAAGCGCTTAAATTCATGTTTAAAAAGCAAAAACACTAAAAAAACGGATTCTAAAGTCGTGGTGAAGTCTAAAAACAGTAACGGGACGATAACGTGACTCCAACTATAACAAATTATTATCATTATTAGAAAAGCATCTAGCACGCATGAATTAAAATAAGAAGTCCCATTAGTCGTCACACACTGTGAAATGAGTTTTCCGTATTTGACCCATCCTCTGGGGGAGCGGTGAGCTGCAGACGCGGCTGCGCTCGGGAACCTTTCGGTGGTGATGACGAGGATTTCTGATTCACCACTTACATTTCTAAGTCAATGAAACCTGATGAAACGATGGTGAATTCAACAAATTAGTAAGTAAACAGATTTCACTTCAAACAGATAATAAATGCAACACAACCACTGTTTTTGTTTGCTTTCAGGTTGAGGAAGAAACAGTAAATCTCACAGGAATCTGTATAAATAAGCTGCGCAAAGCCATTTATCTTAGACACAGCCTTTAGAAAGTACATCAGTAATCAAACACAGATGTTTGATCTCACTATGAAGGAAGCTCTTCCACTGAAGCCGCTTATTCACAGCAGGAACATCGATGTGGACTTCAAATTCAGGAATTTAAAGCTGGAATCGGTTAAACTGACTTGTGTTGGGAAAAATGCATATTATAAATCCTGAGAAACAAATCAGCTGGTGAAATCTAAAGTATAGAAATAAATGAACACTAAATCTGGGAGGCATGAATAAAACTATGACAGGCTTCCTGTTATTGTTGGACAGATTTACACGTGTGGCGGAGCAGGAAGCTGATTTGTAGCGCTGGGGACCGTCCCATTGTTTCGAGGAGAGTTAACATGACTTACAAACGTGTTTATAAATGTCTTGTGAGAGCGGCGCGTCTGCTGGGAAGGATATCTCTGAGCCGAGATGGATTTAGTGGAAGCGGGCCTGATAAGGAGCCGAGTCCTTACCTCATTAGTGTTCCACCGGTGCCTCTCCTTTGGCAGCGACGTGCATTTCGGTAGACATTCAAGCAGCTTCTTGGGCAGGTATATTTTCAAATGTCCATGTTCATCTGCAACAGGAGCAGACAGAGAGGAATATTAAGCACAGGCTTCATCACTTATTGACTGGCTGGTCTCCTCTTTATCAGTCTATCAGTCTCTGTGCAGTAAAACGCTGACTGTTAAATAACTATCCCCAACTGAATCAGGAAATTAATTTAAGAACAGACCGATGCGTACATTTTAGTTTGTGGTCGGCTGAATTATTTTACTGTGTAATGCATTCTGTCAGGGGAGTTCACCAGAAATGTTTCGCTGTGAACTTGGAAAGGCTGTGTCTATTCATTATTTAGACACAATAAACACCCCTGAGTGATTTTATGGTGTATGGAGATTTAGGATGGGAACGCTGCCCTGACGAACGCGGCGTATTATTCTGGGAAATAATTACAATCACCAGGCCCGGTGCTTACATCATAACGTGTGTGTTTTCATCTATCATTTGTACTTCCACGGCCAGTTTGTGAGGGTTTAGAGAGCTCTAATGATTACAGACAAGTCCTCGCAGTGATGCTTTTAAACGTTGGTTCTGTTATTCCATTATTTTTGTTGTTTTCTACAAAAACTTTTAGCTGCTTTAGAATCAGAAAACTACAAACGTGATTTTTTTTTAATCCTGCAGCTGCGAGTGAAATGTCCGTGTGTTCTCTCAGACTTTCAGCCCCTAATCTTTTTCATTTCACCACTTTTCTCATGCACAACCACTACAAAGAGGCGGACTTCGCTAATCCAGGTGATGTTCCGGAGTGTGGAAATGAACATGGTCGGCGTTAGGCCCTGCTACTTGGGCTGAAGCCCCGGATGTTTCATGAAAAGCCCCGGATCTCAAACGTGGAAGTAACATGCAGTACCAAAGTCCAACAGAGAGGGCGCAGCTGGCAGTAGTTTGTATACAGCCTGCCTGAGCCTCCACCACTGAAGAAGAAGCCCTTCAGCAGCCGGCTTCTTCTGCACTCTCTGCCTGAAACGCATGAGTGAAGATGGACATAAGGACGTTTTTTAGACCAAAAGTATAACTACAGAACCCCAGCTCTGATGAGACTGGTGCTGACTCAGGTTTGTGAGTCTTATTTGAAAATATTTGTTGTGCTGCTGGTTTGCCTAAAGTTAGCTTACTATCAGGTAAAGTTGTTGGAGAAAGAAAGGGAATATTTACTATCATCTCACACTAAACACTAACAGGAACAATATTCTGCCCTGAAAATGCTTCATATGTAGCTTCAGATTAAACATTGTGGTACAAGATATATATATGTGTTGACTAGTGCGTGTCACATGTGTGTGTGTGTGTGTGTGTGCGTGTGTGTGTGTGTGTGTGTGTGTGTGTGCGCGCGCGTGTGTGTGTCAGTCCTTAATCCGCCCCTGGAAATGAATCTGTTGTTCCGTGGTAATGTGTGGAAACTGAATGTAAATAAATTCATAGCAAAGTATCGTATTCATCTGTAAAACAACAAAGAAGAAATCAAATATTGTTTACTGCTTTCTCTCACTTTTATGTGAGTCAGGAGGAAAAAACTTGGAATACGAGTGAATCTCTAGAGATATCACACGGTTAGGAACAGAAAAGGGTTTGTCCGAAGAAAAGACGCAGCTGTGTGCGCTACAATCAAACAGAATACAGCAGGACAGGGAGAGAAAGGTCCATATGGAAAATCCAGCGGACTGATCCGTGCAGACGGAGCTGGCTCCGAGTGTGGAGCGTTGTCCTCCCCAAAGGGGCGCAGAAGTAGCTGGGCGGAATCTGCTTTATTAGTTTGTTCCTGTAAATCTGCGTGTTTTATATGAGCGGCACACGTAACCATTCGCTGTGCCCAATTACCAGTCCCATTCAACATCTGCTCCGAGGCACAGCCAGAGAGGTTTTACTGTCAGACGTGGAGAACACGCCACAGCTGAATGACACAGGCTGGATGAGAGTGGGGTGGCAAGCTGCTCTTGTGTGCAGATCTAATCTAGGAACACGACAGAAATCAACGATTTAAGAAGGGTGCGGCTTAGAAATAGCAAAATGCAGCGACTCCTTTGGACAAACGGTAGCTTATCACCGTAGCGAAGGAGAAAAAAGTGGCCTCCAGAAATCTGTGGCCACCAGCTCTGTGACGTCCTCTGAAGGAAACGTGTAAGAGCAGCACAGGTGAACTAACTTTCTCTTTTCTGTCAGCCATGATTTCTGGCTGTGTTTTAGTGCGCCGTCTCCTGTTCGCTCTTGGGATCTGTGACTGACAGAAGAAGTCTTTGCACAGATGATTCCCTCTGAAACACCTAGATTTCAGAGTGAAACCTGTAAGACACGGCTCTCCTAAACATCTGGAGAAGGAACACAGGAACACTGACTAATGACCCTAAGCCTTAAATTACAGCATTGTGATATTTAAATGGCTCGCTCCCACCCCCTAAATGCCTCTTAGTTATGAGTAATCTGCGTGAAAAGGTTAACACTCGAGCTTGGATCTCTGCGCGGTGGATTAGTGGGCAGCACAGAAGGCTTCTGGCAGCTCCGTGCTGAGGTAGCTTGTTCCACACGTGGCGTCCTCACTCAGGATGACATCACGACTGGATAACCAGAGCGGCTGTGAGCCTTCGCGGTGACGTCTGTGCTGTGATGATACGCCTGCAGTCCAGACTGGCTCTGAACTGCCACCCTGCTGTAGGAAAGCTGTCTGAAGCATAAATAAAAGAGGGCCTGGATCATTTCTGAAGACATATCTACCCTATTCTCCATCCTGTTGCATCATGCTGTTTAAACAGCACCGTTTGGAAACTAGGGAGCGCCACGTCTCCTTTGTTGCATTTTTTATTTCACAAATGTTTTCAGTGAGTGACACACCGGAACCGCGCCGGGAGTCTTCAGCACTGCGCTGACGGTAGCCTGTTTGACTGATGAGACCAATTTCTACTCCTTTTATTGAAAAGTATCTCATCATAAACCAAACCAGTTATCAGACAGGGATCGCACGCTTCCATCAAACAGAGCGTCCTGTCACGCGGACGCTTTTACTCACACGACACCAGCAAACCCAAAGGAAGTCCACCAGACACAACAGATGGTGAAGCTCTACCCACAGATCCAGGTTTCAGCCGTGAAATTGTATTTGTAAAAATAAAACACAGATAACGCCGAGCCGTCATGAAGTCCTCCTAAGATTCACGTTTGCTTTTGAACACTGGGAATTTTAACTCGGTTATAGTGAGCAGGAAACACAATGTTACAGTTACATTTGACTTAAAGGGACTTCACGGACTTTTGAATTTTTATGCTCGCGAGTGCCCCCTCAGGCCAAAAGCGCAATGGCAGCTTCAATGGTAGGCTCGTGCACGAGGCGCGCATGCTGTACGTGCACACTCCTTAACGAAAATAACAACTGAGACAGTCTCTCGTGTGTGTGTGTGTGTGGGGGGGGGGGGGGGGCAGAGGACAGGACAAGGCACAGCTAATTAATTAAATAATGTGGTTCTGTACCTTTCTCTTCAGCACAGCCGACAAAGGTTTATGATGGGTCAGTCCTCCTGCATGCTCAGATCATTCCCTTCCCTTGCTTGAAAAATTGTTCCAAAATGAAAGTTGAACCCACATCTTTTTCATCTGTGAATTCAATGTCGTTCGGCGAATCTCAAATAAAAATTTGGGCATCTTACTGTAAAAAAATATACAATTAATGTAAAAAAGAAACTCTAAATAAACTATGTTCACACCCAGAATCAAACCCAGGTCTTCTGCACAAGAGTCCTACATTTTACAAGGTGAGCTACACACCAGTGACATTCACAGCATCTGTAACATTTATATCCTTGATGACAGCGGAAACGCCAAACCAAAGAACGGTTCGGAGCGAAAATGGCTAACTTGTTGCTAATTTGCAGGAAATATCTAGAAGAAAGTTCTACAGAAAGTAGCTAAGGGTCCTCAGAAATGTAGCTAGCTTTGTCACTAGGCGTTAGGAACAGCGACAAAGTGGCACTGCCTCTCTCTCTGCTGCTAAAGCTACGGATAGCAAATGCTACGGGCGATGCCTGAGCGTGAACGCGCATGAAGCAGCCTGCTCGACCCGAGCATCTCTCTTTTTCTGTGATTTTACAGAAAAACAGGCAATCACAGTAAAAATGCCAGGGCTCATTCTACAGGACCAGGGCATTGCAGGAGAATGTATGAAGAAGACATTTATTATTTCTATACATGTTTTGGCCGTCACACTTCCATAATGTCCCTTTAAGTTGATGCTGACAAACATTACAGCAGCAACAGCTCCTTAGCGCGGTGAGTCCGACTAAAACCCGCGTCTCTGATGTCATCGGCAGCAGCAGCCTGTGTGGCTGGAGAGCTAACGGTGGATTACTGGGTCTTTAATCTGGCTGGTTTTGAACAGCGTCCGTCAACAACCATGTGAATAGAAGTGAACATCAGGGTAGATCTGCTATAATGACTTATTTACAATCACAGCTCAGCTGATTTCAGAAAGCTTCCTAAACCTGTGATTGGCTGTAATCATGTCCGCCACGACCGTCCACAGCTGCCTTTAGCCTCACAACTTCCTGTTGATTCATGACTGCAAATTCTCACAAAGGTTCAGCTATTTAATACACGCCAGATGCTCAAATACTTTCCAGTTTTAGGACGTAAAAAATAAAACCTTGAGATCTTTTCCTGCTGAAATATTTCCCACAGGGATGTGCCCCTCCTCCTCCTCCTTACCTCTGAAAGAATCAGCCACCCTGAGATGATATTTTTATCCCCAGCGATGTTCCTGACCTGTTTCCAGCTAACCTGATTGTGAAATGTTCCTCCAGGTGATGTTATTCTTTAGTGTTACACAACTTTCTCAGGCTTTTTCCTCCCTGTTCTGACTTTGTGGAACACGTTGGTGACAGATTTTCTCTGTTAGAAATAACATCATCTTAATTGTAAAATCTCATGTGGATAAAACAGAAAGAGGTCCTTTTGGGATGAAATGAATAAACCAGCTTCACAGCATTTTAACCTGTGGAAAAGCACAGGTGTGTTACTGTTTTCACT